TAACAATACAATGGTGTGAGCGATGATTGTACGTAGTAATACGCAGCGAATTTCCGGGAATCGAATACCATTCGATCATGTTTTTCAACCAATCAGATTAAAGAACACAGTGACTTTTGGTTTACAATTGTAGTTACCATAACGTTAACGTTGCTTATTCTCTATACAGATTAGAGGCTCGCTTGTGAATGTTTCTCTCTCTGTATTGGAAAAACACTATAAAAGGACCAGGTAAATGCACTGCTGCATGGGTTTCTCACCCACGGGTGTGTAAGAAAAGGTGGTTATATTCATGGACAGAGTAGCTGTTTGCTTTAATAAAGAACATGTTCATTTACAAAGTTGCATTGTTATAGTTGATAATAGTAGTAGTAGTGGTAATAGGAAAGGGGCGGTGGGGTAGCCTAGTGGTGAAGCGTTGGCTCGTCACGCCGAAGACCCGGGTTCGATTCCCCACATGGGCACAATATGTGAAGCCCATTTCTGGTGTCCCCCGCCGTGATATTGCTGGAATATTGCTAAAAACGGCGTAAAACTAAACTCAGTCAGTCAGTCAGTAATAGGAAAGAGTACTTTATGTTTGTAAAGCCCAACTCACTCACTCACTAACCTGTATGAAAGTCTTAATTTTGAAGTCCTTTTGAAACATTCTAGTGGGAACATGTCATGCCACGAGGTGTTTGAGTTCATATGGAGTTACAACGAACTGGGTAGATGTTTCTGTTGGTATGGTATGGTTTGTTTGTTGTTAAACACCCCACTGCCCCTTTGATACAGACAGGAAACTGATAGTGTTACACCTGGCCCTTGTATAGTGCTTTTCCAATACAGAGAGAGAAAACATTCACAATGCAATAAATATTACAGATGTCAGATAGTGGTACATGTATATCAATGTATATCAATGTCTATGAAAGGTTAATGCCGTTGTGCCATTACCATATACATTCACAGTACATTCATAGTAATCTTCAAGTACAAAGAGGAAAACAGTCACATTGCAATCAATATCACATATGTCAAGTAGTGGTAGCAGGTATATCAATGGTTATCAAAGGTTAATACAGTAGCACGGTTACCAAAACACAGTATTACATAAACATATATAGCAAATACAAGGACATTAATACCCGGTATTTGCCACTAGGGTATAGTACCCGTGAAGATCCGGGTTAGAATTTGCCTTCAGCAACCCATGCTTGTCGTAAGAGGCGACTAACGGGATCGGTTTGTCAGGCTAGCTGACTTGGTTGACCCATGTCGTATCCCAATTGGGTAGATCGATTCTAAAGATGCCAATCACTGGATTGTCTGGTCCAGACGCGATTATATACCAACCGCCGCCTGGAATATTGCTTTTTTAAAAAACATTCTATTGTTCCCAATGTGATGAAACATATGTTATATTTTGTTATATTTGGGATTAATGTCAATGTGATGAGTACAAAAATATGATGAGTACAAGCATATAGAGGAATATGTGTACATAGCAGCTAGTGGGCTCAATAGAGATATAGTACATTAAATACATTAAATATCGATATCAGTTATATGTCATTCAGGGTTAAATTCAGGGATGAGAGGAATGAGATTTGGCTAAAAAGCTTTCAACATTATTATTTCTTCTGGACATGAGTGCTTGAGTGGTAAATATGTCTTTCAATATCCTTAAGTAATTATCAACTTTTGGAATTGTTTTTTTCAAAGAGCAAGTGTAAATATACCTCTTAGGAGATAAGATTATGTGATTCAGTAATGGGTTCTTACCTAAAAAGCCAAACCAGATCAAAGTTTTGTCAAATTAAGTGTTTGGATACGTTTCGTAATCCACTGTTCAAGTTTCTTCCAGAAAGTTTTGGTTTCATCTCATTCCCCAAATACCTGGCATAAGGTCTCAACAGAATCAATACAAAAAGAACATATTGTCCACCAGATTCATTTTATAAAGTTCTTTTTGGTATAAACAATTCCGTGCAGAATTTTATATTGAAAATCTAACAGTTTCACATCTCTTAGATTCTTTCTACAAATATCAAAAATCAAATGCCAATCAAAATCAATACAATCAAATAATGTTTTCCATTTTTGGCACATGTGAGGTTTAACATTTTCAGATAACAATTTATCATAGAATAATCTTGAACCTTTTCTTGGGGATATGAAATCCTTTTGGAGAGAATTTATAGGAGGTCATTAATGTTTATGTATCTATATTCCTTCATAGTTGTTTTCCAAGGTTCAGGTAAAATATGTATAACACATCCAAGATCTAAGTGAGTACCTCTTATATCAAATTTAAGCTTCAATTGATCAAAGGATATAAACCCATGTTCATCACAAAGACCTTTGATTGTCAAGATTCCACTTTTAGCCCAGTGACTAATGATGTGATTTGAGTTTTTGAAATTGTTATTCAGCCATAAAGGTTGGGATAAGATTCCATTAATGTTCTAGCTGGAATATTGCTGCTTGCGGCGTTTAGAAGAAATTAACCCTGCGGATTATTACACTGAATCAATTCACAGCCACGTATGCTGAAATTAACCCTGCGGATGGTTACATTGAATCAAGTCACAGCCGCGTATTGCTGAAATTATCCTGCGGATGGTTACATTCAATCCAATTCACAGCCAGGTATTGCTGAAATGAACCCTGCGGATGGTTACATTGAATCAAGTCACAGCCACGTATTGCTTAATTATCCTGCGGATGATCACATTGAATCACTTCACAGCCTCGTATTGTGAAATTAACCCGCCTACCGGCTAGGGTAACACTGCTACAAAGAGGCGTACCATCAGACCGTATTACCCTCGACAGATAGCATACAAATTATATAATTATTCATTTAACAACACATTTTCAGATACAATCTTTGAAGTACTTCATTCGTTGTTATTGTCTCCAGTATCAATATAGCAATGTCAATAAAGTTTGTAAAAACATATGCACATGTTTGTTGCCTGGTTGATTGAACAGTTAATTAACGCTATAATAACAACAATGTTTGTATAGGAGCGACTGTCCATTTAATATTAAATTAAATATCATCGCTCCTCATGCCAAATACCCAGGCTCGATTCCCTACATGGGTACAGTGTGTGAAGCCCATTTCTGGTGTTACCCAGTTGACTCCAACACTTTTTACATGTAAAAGAAATAAAATACACATCACACAAATGGTTTAACTAATATAATGTTTCCCAGACATTGACTCATATATGTCATCATCTGTCAAATCTCTTCTAAGTAATAACCTCATTAACATTGATACAGCATATCCCCTGAGGTTTGAGTCAGACATACGTTATACATATTCCTCGATTTGACATATTCCCCAGATACACGTTGTTACCCTTCTTTAGTGAGTGAGTGAGTGTGGTTTACACCGCTTTTAGCAATGTTCCAGAAATATCACGACGGGGGACACCAGAAATGGGCTTCACACATTGTACCCATGTGGGGGAATCGAACCCAGGTCTTCGGCGTGACGAGCAAACGCTTTAACAACTAGGCTACCACGCCGCCCCTTTTCTTTACTTGAGAAGTAATAATACTATGTACCATTCTATTCGTTTTTGTAAGTGATTTCAATGTTTGCATGCTTCTGGTGTTACATGAAGATTCAAAAGTTGGACCAATAAGTTAACTGTAAACCACCCTGTTAAAAAACATGGTGTGAAACCAACCACAAACAAAGGGAAAAAATAACAATTGTATTTCAAAGGTACCAAAGTTTACCAATCAATACAAAGGTATATAACCACAGCGTGAAATAAAATGGCTATACACTGACAATAGCAGTGCAATATAAAAGCAGTGATTAAAGTAATAAAGACTGATGAAAATAGTCACCTTGCTGCAGTACTACTCAACCTTCCAAAATAAGCGTTGGCTGAGAATCCAAGGTGAAAAGTGATCTAACACAGATAAGAAGCTTGTCCTCTTGTGCTTTGAGATGTAATGCGAGATTGTCTCCCCCTGATCATATGAAAACAGCTTCCAGAACATTGTCTAATCCGTGGGTAAGAATATATGCCTAAACATTTCCAGACCAATCTTGTTTTCCAGTCGAACTTACTGTATTCACCGGAATGTCGTCTATTCAATGGTAAAGGAATCAATATAATTCAGATGCACATGTTCCACAAAAAATAACACTGCCCGGAAACCTAATTATTTGCACAAGTTCCAATCAACTTCACAAAGTGAAAATAAACACTTTAAAGCACTAACAAGAACAGCCAATTCTTATGCTGCGCCTCTCAAATTATATGCATGAAAAAAGGTTACATAAGGCTTTTTGGGTACAGCTGCATTTGTAACCATCATCCACCTCCAAGACTTGTTATTGTTGCATACTACGAGAGACCATTAAATACAGGTTTGAGGAGTTTTTCACTCTATGTCATGTTACTGATGAAAACGTCAGTCTACGTTGTTACGATTTACCGTACTTCATGGCAAACGCTCATTTTACATATATCATTCCACTCGTCACGCCAAAAGCCCGGGGTTCGATTCCTCACATTGGCACAATGTGTGAAGTCAAGTTCTAATATTGCTGGAATAGTGCTAAAAGCGGTGTAATTACAAATTCATTCACTCACCCACTGAACACATATAGCCTAACCAAATATTTTTTTGTCATTGACTGATATAAATATTTTATAAATGAGTGAGTGAGTTGCGTTATACGCCGCTTTTAGCAATATTCCAGCAATATCATGGCGGGGAACACCAGAAATGGGCTTCACACATTGTGCCCATGTGGGGGAATCGAACCAGGGCCTTCGGCGTGACTAGCGAACGCTTTAACAACTAGGCTACCCAAACGCCCGTTGCATAAATGAACCATATTAAATACAGTATACACAGTCAAGCACCTATAAACGCCGGAACACAAAGTCAGTGTTCCTGTCACGGTGTGTGTTGTCCAAAGGTTCCACAACGTCACTTTGGAAGTACAATACTGTGGTGTGAAAGCAAGCCTTTCTTACCTAAAGAACATGTCATATATGTAGAAGGTTTTACTGTTAAGTGAGATCGATTATAAATATACTCGTGGAAACAAATAAAAGGAACACATGAAAGGACATGTGTTCCTTATGCTTTTCCGGCTTTTCACCCACAGTGCAATACAAAACATGGAAACCTGGAAAAGAATATAGGAACACGTTTGCTTTCATGTATTCCCTTATTTGTTTCCATGAGTATGTGTACTGAACAGACTGATGAACACAATAAAGTTATCCGTACACATTGAACAGCGAGCGGAGTTCGCTGGGCGAACACTTCACCAGTTTATGCTCGACCATACAGTGAAGGCCTTTTGACGTCCCCCTGACGTACGCTGCCACCCGCCCTACACCACTAAACGTCAACACCAGAACGTCACACGACATCAACACATGCTGGTCAAGGATGACCTTCTTCCAGCCATCGCACCGAGATTTTCTATCAGTGTCCCGTTCAATATGAGACACTTTTCCTTCGCTTTCCATAATTTGGCTTGGAAATAACGTCCGGGCTTGTTGCATGACAGTTTCGGAGTCGGAAGTGACAAATATTTTGTATGTTGAAGGATCACTAAAATTTCGAAAGAATTGCCAAATCTTTTGAACATCTGCCATCGTAGCTCCCCTAGGGATTGTACTGTCATTTGGATTTGAAGGATTTCTAAAAAGTCGAATCTGTGTACAAACGAGCTTCGATGATCCGTTTGGTTTAGCTCTTGCTAGAAACCGGGATAGGGTTTCTTTCAAAGATGCGGATAAAGAGAATAGAGTCTTGTATGCTGTGGCAAAGACTTGGTCCCTTGTCTTATTTTCCATCCATGAGAATTCTTTCCGATGAACTCTGTTGGCCTTGAGGGCATCAACATAGTCCAAATTTGCAAGAAAATATGCAATGTCATGTTTCAACCAGGCGCTAAAATTCAGAGTTCTCGATTTGCTAATGAAGCTGACTTTGCCCATCTCATTGTACACACCTACTGACCTGTCATCTCGCGAGGCTTCAAAGCGGGCTTCATCCCAGGGAACAGAGTTCGGTGTTAGGAATGACGTCAGGTTACACGGGAGAGATGTTATGTCGATACCAAACTTTCTCCGCGTTGCCATGGAGATGTAGAATCCCATTAAAATGCCTTTTAGTCTATCGGACCATCCACCACAGACATTAGATTTAGCACATCTATATATAAGATACTTAGTGACTGACATATGGTGAGCGTTCATCTTGGATTGTCTCCCATCTAACATTGGGGTCAAGGTCAAGTCTCCATTTGAACCTTTAGATATTTTTACGCCATTCTCAGATCGAACGTCTTCTCCGGAAGTGGTCAATCTGTGGCCAAGTGTGTTTGGGACTCTCTTTCCAGAAGGCCGTGAGTAAGTCTCCAAGTGGTTGACGGCGATAACAATAAAGGTAACTGAAACGCCGACCGTTAAGAACAGAACTGATGACTTGAATTTCTGAAATCATAAACATCGGAGAATACATCTTTTTGCAGTGATTGTGCCAATTCTGTCTAAAGTTTGCTTGACTCGATGATGTACCGATCATCCATATGTAGCTGAAATATTGCTTACAATGGCATAAAATAACATTCCAGCAAATCAAAAGCATTCTGTTCATAAAGTTAATAATAGATCGTATTGGGAAGTATTTTGGCTAATTTACTACGAATCAGGGCCCTTATTCTCGTTACGTTCGTAGCTCTAAGAATTGTTAACTTTGATCGAAGCCAATGTGTTAAGAATGGGCTTAAGAAGTTCGTAAGGCTACGAACGTTTGCAGAGTGTAGCTAGCCTGCTTCGTTGGGGTGTAAAACACAAACTTAGTCATGCGCAGTATTATTTCATTGGGGGCGGTGAGGTAACCATACAGTACCTCGATGGAGTGTCGCATCTTACTGGTAATTGATATGTATCCTTACTGTGTATATATTGTTATAAATGTCAGAATATCATGTTATGAAGCATTGTTAATAAAATATGTTATCAAAATATGCGCCTGTTATCTTTTTCACCTTATAACCCTTATAAAGATATAACCTTACATTACACCGACTTGTCCGGTCCGGTAATCAACTTTCCAATTCAGACTACCAGTCGGCACATCAGAGACACAGACGGTAATCCACCGTCCGGGATTATCTGTCAGCACATGAAATAAACTTGGCAGGTGGGACTAACCCCATGGGTCACGGGTTCTATTCTCGAGTGTAGCGCACTCTGGTACTTCTGGGATAGTGCTTAAAACGGCGTAAAACCATACTCACTCACTTTGGGTAGCACTTGACAGACAGGGATGTCAATCAAGGGCTTGACACCAAATGCTGGGTGTCTTCCTAAGGTTAAATGTTACAGCAACTAAAACTTGGACCGCAGAGATTTCGAATTATTCCAAAGGTACTACTTGTCGCGTATTCAAAACTAAACCTGTCTTCGAATGTTTTTTACATATATCTCTGTCTCATTGGCTCTTAAATTCCTCTTGATTAGAACTTCCTGCCATCGTTTACCGATTGAAGTAGGTAGGTGACACAAACGTTTCACTGAAGAAACATGTGTAACCTCTGCGACACGTGTGATATTGTCGATGGATTTCAGGATATTTGTCTCTGTCCTTTCATCAAAACATCATCAGAATACTTACATCCCAAACTATAATGTTTAAATCCCAATGTGTTAAAATTTACTATCCGGCTTTTGGTCGAGTTTTGAATGGCATTCAGAAGTGATACACATGAAGGAGAGATTATATGGAGAGATTATATGGAGAGATTATAAGGAGAGATTATAAGGAGAAATTATATGGAGAGATTATATGGAGAGATTATATGGAGAGATTATATGGACAGATTATATGGAGAGATTATATGGAGAGATTATATGGAGAGATTATATGGACAGATTATATGGAGAGATTATAAGGAGAGATTATATGGAGAGATTTTATGGAGAGATTGTATGGAGAGATTATATGGAGAGATTATATGGAGAGATTATATGGAGAGATTATATGGAGAGATTATATGGAGAGATTGTATGGAGAGATTGTATGGAGAGATTATATGGACAGATTATATGGAGAGATTATAAGGAGAGATTGTATGGAGAGATGATAAGGAGAGATGATAAGGAGAGATTATATGGAGATATTATATGGAGAAATTATAAGGAGAGATTGTATGGAGAGATTATATGGAGAGATTTTATGGAGAGATTATAAGGAGAGACTGTATGGAGAGATTACATGGAGAGATTATATGGAGAGATTATAAGGAGAGATTGTATGGAGAGATTATGAGGAGAGATTATATGGAGAGATTATATGGAGAGATTATAAGGAGAGATTATAAGGAGAGATTATATGGACAGATTATATGGAGAGATTATAAGGAGAGATTATATGGAGAGATTTTATGGAGAGATTGTATGGAGAGATTATATGGAGAGATTATGTGGAGACATTATATGGAGAGATTATAAGGAGAGATTGTATGGAGAGATTATATGGACAGATTATATGGACAGATTATAAGGAGACATTATATGAAGAGACTATACGCGCAACTTCTCCATGTGTACTACGGAAGTGTATATCTGTACATTCTCTCCTTTAATCCACTCCATGCTGTTGTCGAACCAATTCGACAGGAGAAAACCAAAATGACAAAAACAAATAAAAGGTGCAATAACTATTTACCCAGTAGGATTTACGTGGCATTTGACTGCATGAATGCGCAGCTTCCTAAATATATAAACTTTATCAACGACCATTGTTGCCTTCAGGCACTTCACTTCGAGTGGTAGTCAGTCTGATAGTTTCTTCATAATGCAATCATTATATGTACTATGAACAGCATGTTTTGTTCTTTGGTGAAGAGAAAACATTGAAGCTCTCATTTTCTGAAACTTAACACCTTTATGTTTCAGTAAACAAAAACAACTGGATGAATAGGAACGATCAAGTCCGGGCGGCAAACAAACAATTCCACATGCATCGTGATACTACTGCAATCCTTTGATATGTCCAGCTATTTTTGCTGACCACATGGTCTGATCACGTACCGTTAAAAGTCTTTGTAAAAAATATATATTATCATGTTTGTAATGATTTCGACTGTTGTCAGCCGTACGTAGGTGACAAGTAGATGTATGAAGCTGTCTTTTTTTTATTTGTTGTATATTTTTCCACCGGTTTTCACAAATCCGAAGTCGTAATGGATTTCGCGGTCGATGAATTTCGAATAACGTTCTGACAACGGGGAGATCTATCACATGCCAATATAACATTGATAGCAATAACATAATGATGTTCTGTGTCTATCTTACAATAAGGGCATTCTGATAATTGAAGATGTCATTGCATGAAACACTTTTCTGACAGAGGACCTATCGTACACGGTGACGGAGGAAACCACATCTTGTGTAAGAAACTAGATTCATGGTTGGTAACTGGATTTCTAGGAATGATGGGATGAAGCAATGCTCCTCGTCTATGTCAATTCATTTCACTCTAAATCGGTATTTATTTCAGACATTAAAACAGGTAAACAGCACATGAGTTGTTCTACAAGAAGAAGCAAAGTTGAAACAAATTAATTTGGTTGCCTCAGAAATTAGAGATTTCCAAGTTTTAATTCCACCAACTTTTTCACATCGTTTTACTTGTGTCCATTTAAAAAATAGTCATTGGTCAAGTGACCCAATACATGGCTTGATTTGGAGCATTTAGAATTTGCACTGTGAAACGTAAAACTGCAAATGCAAACTCATATTTGTACCTACTTGCACTCAGTGCATGAGTGTATTTTGTCGTTCCATGAACACAGGCTTCTGCTGGGAAACTGAATGATGAGGAACTGGCTTAGAGCAATGACACTGATGATTACACGGACAGTGATTGAAAGACTGACCATTGTTGTCATGTTATGACATTTTAAAATAAACTGATCATATCAGTGTGGTTATCGTAAACCATATGTGTGAGTGAGTGTGTTTAGTTTTACGCCGCACTCAGCAATATTCCAGCTATATGGCGACGGTCTGTAAATAATCGAGTCTGGACCAGACCATCCAGTGATCAACAACATTAGCATCGATCTGCGCACTTGGGAATCGATGACATGTGTCAACCAAGTCAGCGAGCTTGACCACCCGATCCCGTTAGTCGCCTCTTACGGCAAGCATGGGTTACTGGAGGGTCATTCTAACCCAGACCTTCACGGGTCGTCAACCATATGGAGCAATATGAATGTCGCATTTCTACTCCCAACGTAAGTTAAGAGTAGTAAATCCAGACTCTCTACGGATGCATTGTATAGGACTGCACGGACATAGGCTAACTTAGCGAACGTTGCCGTGTTGCTGTTTAATTGTGAGTTGAGATGAGACATTTTTTCCGTCGAAACGTAATGTTTCCTTCAGCTGACTGAAGCAACTGCAAACCAAGAAACGGGGCGTACTGAGGGAGACTGTACTAGACAGTGACAACAGCGGTAATGTGATCTCTAACTTAGCCTCTTTGTAAACCCTGGAATGTTGCGTTACGTGTCAGCTTGACCTAGACATACTGAGTTAACTTACATTAGAAATAAAAGTGCGACATGTAGTCTAAGAAATCAACAGGTGTAACTGAAATACTTCTTTGATTGGCATTCTAGAAGTTGAGGAGATGAAGAATGAGGACATTTTTTATGCATATACAGAAATTGGATATCCATACAAAATGTCCTCATTCTTCGTAATTGAAATAATAAAGAGAAGATGTTTTAAAACCTGAACGTAAACAGTTTCGAAACCTTTTATCGTTTTTGTCAACGGTAGAATGTGTCTTAACGGAGGGGGTTGGACACGTCAATAGAACAAACGCGCCAGTTTGCTCTGAACATCACGGGCAACATCATCCTTTTGTTTGTTTTCTACCTTAGATTAACCGTTGGTAAGTATTAAATAACGTTCATGTATAGTGTAATAATATACAGTTGTGCCCTGAACTATTATAACGTTAAAGGGTCATTCTAAAAAAAAGGCCAAATTCGTGCTATGAAAAATATGAAAATACAAAGCATCATACTGAATTATCTCATTATTGTTTTGAATGGTCAACACATTAAAAAATGCGGTCATGATAATTTGCACACAGGAAAGTAATAAAATATTTTTAAAATAAACTTTTTTAAAGTATCCACTGAAAAAAACCGTCAGTGGTGTAACAAGCATAAAAGTATTCTTTTTCAAACTTTGATGTCAGATAAGGAATTTTTCACATTTGTCATTATTTACAAACTTTTTCTATTTTCAAATATAAATTAAATCGTTTCATTATTCTCACATATTTAATTGTAAATTTGGCAAAAAGGGCTTGGTGTGAGAAGAATGTCATGGTAACATATGATATTTTTTTATGAAATAACTTGTATACTTAAGACTGAACATGTTTTATGTATACAGTGGTATTAAAGCTGTTTTCAGTTATCATAAAATATCAGTCTAACTGTTAAATTATTCTTTTGAAATAATTAAATGTTAGCAAATATGCATGTTACACCACTGATATTTTTTTATATCCTGCCTGTTACACCACTGAACTTTCTGCAACTTACTGGAACAGTAAACCAAATCAACAGCCATATGATGCTTTGGATTACTTAATAATCATCATTGGAGAACGGCTTTCCAACATGTGGCATTGGAAAACAAATGATATCAACAGTTAAGATTAAAATGTACAAATTCAAAGAATACTGTGACACCAATGACATGTTGTGTTACACCACTGATTTTTCTTTACCTCACTCTAAATATAAATCCAAATTAATTGCCTTTAATTGATAATTAACAGCTCAACAGCAAATTCTGAACACTCAGATTGTAAAAGGTTTTTAAAAAATAATATACAAAAGCAATAAAATGAACAAATTGTAGTAATATTGTTACACCAGTGACATTTTTTGTTACACCACTGATTTTTATTGAATTAACTTCAAAGATAAATTCAAATTAATTGCCTTTAATTGATCACTAACAGAATTGAACAGCTCAATAGCAAATTCTGAACACTCAGATTTTAAAAAGGTTTTTCAAAAATAATGTACAAAAGCAATAAAATGTACATATTGTTGTAATATGGTTACACCAATGACATTTTTGTTACACCACTGATTTTTTTGGAATTAACTTCAACGATAAATTCAAATTAATTGCCTTTAATTGATCATTAACAGAATTGAACAGCTCAATAGCAACTTTTGAACACTCAGATTTTAAAAGGTTTTCGAACATAATATTAAACACAACAAAATGAACATATTGTAGTAATACTGTTACACCAATGACATATTTTGTTACACCACTGATTTTTCTGAACTTTATATACTAATATACCAGAACAAATTACCTTCACAGACTTTACATGAGTTAATGGTCATAACATATACTGGATAAATACAATGCAAAGCAGTTGAGTTTTGTGAACAAGTGACTTAAATGAACTTTTTGTCAGTGGTGTAACAAAAACTGTCAGTGACGTAACATTTTCACATGTTTTATCACTGACAGTTACACCACTGACCTATTCCCACTTTTATTAACTTTATAACAATTAATGCTCCCTACCACAGACGACCTGGCATAAATGTTGATGTTTTAGCAACTTTGATGTACTTTAAATAAACATTGTTATGAAAAAGAACACATGAATAAGAAATCAACGTTACACCACTGACTAGATAAAAAGTTATGATATAAAGTAGACTTACCA